CAATGAGGTATGATGCTGGGGGCGTCCGTAAGTATTATCTCATTGTAAACTTTTTTTAGGGGGAGGAGGTCATTTATTTATTTATTTATTTGATTGATTGATTGATTTTTAGTGGCGGTACTGGGGACGGAACCCAGGCCCTCGTGCATGCTAAGCATGAGCTCTACCATGTGAGCTATACCCTCCCTCCTTCACTGAAAACCTTTTTATGAGACACTTATTTCCATTTTACAAGTAAGAAAACTGGGGTTCAGAAAGGTTCCTGCTGTTCAAACTCAGGTCTGACTGCGGTCCCTCCCTTCCACCGTATCAGGCGGCTGTGTTAATCCAGGCAAACATGTACCTAGAATAATGAGGGCTGATGTGTACTGAGTGTGTGCTGTGCACCAGGCACTGTGCTAAGCACTTTATGTGTATGATTTAACTTAATCCGTGTAAAAATCCTTTTTAGAGATAAAGGAACTGAATCACAGAGATGAGAAACTTGCTCAGAAACAAAACAACTGAGATGTGAACCCCAGAATTTGACACCAGAGCCCCAGCTTTTAAACACGTCAGGAATCCTCCCTTCCACGGAGTAATATTATGACAAAAAACCCCACAACAGGTATGAAACAGACTACTTAACTGAAGCAGTGAAGGGCTGGATGGTCACACTCCCAGGCTCTGTCCCTCCACCTGGCAAACATGCACAGTGAGCCGACCACGTGCTCTGGAGGCTGAGGACACGAGGCAATCACACACAGATGGTCCTAACCATCCTCCTGCAGGCTCCTCTCTGCCTGGTCTAAATTATCTTTCCACAGCAACACATCTTGGACCATCCTTCAGTGCTTGAAGACTTCTGTGGTTCTTAGTTGCATACAGGTTGTCAAATTCCCATCTCTTTTCATTTTGTATCAAAAGTCCTGCCCAACCTGAGTCTAACCTCTTCTCCAAAATACCAGAGAGGCAATGAATTGAAATGTTCAAGAGCGTGGGCTAAGATTCCAACTCCACCACCTACAAATTTACCAGACAACTAAGCTTAGGCAGATTTGGGCCTCAGCTTCCTCTCCTGTGAAATGGGGCCACGTTATACCACCCAAATCAAAGAGTTGGTGAGGATTAAACTGGTTATTAGGTCAAAAGTACTGAGAGTCATTCCTGGCACACAATAAAAAGTGCTCCTTTCTCCTGCCAGAAGCCACGGACCTCAGTCCCATCCATCTCCTTCCTCCCTAAACGAGCCGTGATCTTTACACACCCCAGCCTTTTTACAGGTGCTGTTTTTCAAGTCTGTCACTGACTCACCGTGACTGCGTATGTTTATTAATGTGAAGTTCCTTCAAGCAGAAATTACAGCTTTAACACTTTATAATGTATGGGATGCCAATTCACTTGATAAATGTTAAACCGGGACCATTACCTAAAATCAGTCATTCTGATACTCTGCACTTACATGAGAACATTCGAGGTGGCTCCTTAAAGTTCGCTCAGTTTTCTTTTTCTGTTTAAATGCTGACTTCTAAGAATACCTGAAGGGTTACAAAGCTGTCTCCTCCCCCATTTTACAGGCTCTCACCTTCCACCTACTCCTTTCTCACCCTCATTAATAATAATAACAATGATGCCATAAATACTGACCCCAGGGCAGTTAAAGTGATCCTTAAATCCTATATAAAATACAGGAGTTCTTATTATTACTAGTAATGCTGACACATCTCGCCTCCACCAGTAATTACTGGCAGGAACTTGTCCAATGACACAGAGACACTGTTTTCTCTATGTCCCCCCAACCCCCATCCAGAAGAAATGTTGCACTTCATCACAGGTGAGGGACACCCTCTCTTCTCTCAACTGGAAACAGGTAGAAAATAAATGTCCAAGTTGGAAATAAACATGGGACTGGTAGGTAATTTGGAGTTTGAAATATTCTGAGGGCTTGGGAGGCTTGGGAAGTTTGCGCAAGTTACAGAATCTGATCAATTCAAGGATACTGGGTTCTCAGAAGCCTAGGAAACGCGAGGAAAGTTTGCCTTTCAACATGTGGCCTGGGGCAAGTCTCATTCCTAAGAAAGGTACCTGCCCGCAGGCCCAGATCCTTCACTCTCCCCGCTGCTCTAGTCTAGTTCCATCCTCGCACGAACGAGGTCACCATTCATTTTACTGTGTCCTGGCTGAGGAACAACTGTTATATATCATGTTGTTTCAGTGGGAAAATGCATTCCCAGTCTGAACAACTGGAAGACTTTGGAGAACGTCTCTTTCATAAGGTAAGGACTGCGCAGAGCTGCGATCAGGTCCCCCTGGAGAGGATCTGCCAAGAACTGTGTCTTAAGTTTTGCAGGAAATAGAAGCCAACCTCTTTGAGTAATGTAGGACACTTGGCCAGGTTCTCAGATCCAAATCTGGGCTGAGTGACGAGAAATATCATGGCAGGAAGACAAGAGGAGGCTGGACGAGAAACAGGAGAGACGAGGCTGAGGAGCTGGAGGCAGACACACCAAGGTCTGCAGCCTGCCTCTCAGCAAGCAACTCGCACCCCCGATCGCTCTCGTCCCTACAGCTCAGGGCCGGCTCCTTATCACTGCCGCCATCTGAGCCCGGGCACCACCACATCACAGGGCCTTCCCCAACTACCCACTGTAGACACAGCCTTACCCTCATCCTAACATTTCCTCTCTCCACGGCACTCACCACTGACTGAAATTGGCTCACTGTTTCTTTACTGTCTGTCTCTCCCCAAAAAGCTTAGCTCCATGAGGAGTTTTACTCGAGTCGTGCTCACTAGCACGGCGAGCAGCACAAGGAACAGACGTGTGCTGAATGAACAGGGTTGTTGAATGAGGATTCAGTGACGGAATAAAGGAACAAATGATCCATCCACCTACCTACCTACCTGCATATCTACCGACTTACCTCCTTATCTGTGCCTGGTACAGAGCTGTTACATGGCAGCCCTGGATAAATACTACAGAAGGAGCGAAACAGAGGATGCTACTGTTAGGAGACAGCAAGTGTTCACAGAACAACAAGGGAAACCAGGAGAACAGAACATGGAGCTTCCAAAAATCAGCTCAAGACTGACAGCAGCTCCAATGCTGACTTAAAGTCTGCAAATAGGTGAGAGCAGTTGTGTGATTCCATAAACTTCTTTGGCCAGTGCTCAGAACTGGCAGAGAACTCCTAGGACCCAGCTACCACTCGCTGATGCTGATGACAGGGAGAACAGAGGAGGGCTGGCCGCCTGGGCAGAGCCGAGAATGGTGCTGCCTCTTCTCCCACAAAGTCACCGCACGGCTTCTGGTCCTTCTGTATTCACAGGGGAGCGCGGGGAGAAGCACCCAAAGAGAGTGTCCCCTCCCCACACGCCACACAGGCCCACTCATTCTGGACGCTGCCCCTTGCCTTTTTGCAAAAGGCAGGGTGGCGGCCACAAGGAGCCGGAAGCAAACAAAGACCAAGGTTCTTTCCCTCCTTCTCCCCAGTGGTGCAATTACAGCTGTGCTCACGCTCGATGTGTTCTGGGAAAAGACTGAAGAGCAGGCCCTCTAAGTCCTCTCCAGCGTCACGTGTCCGTGGAATCGTATCTACACAGGGATTCGGAAAGTGAGGACACTGCCTTTGCAATGCTTTGAGCACAGAGTTCTTTGACTCAGGATATTTATTGAAGATAGTGGTTTTCAAACAGTCTTTTAAGTCTCAGACTTCCCTTCTGTACATGGAGTTTACCTGGATCCTTAACATGTGAAACAGATGAGTGCGGGAGCTCCAGGGGATCTGGGCCCCGTCGCCTCAGCTCCCCTGCCCTGTGAGGGAGGCCCTGGCATCTCAGAGGAGTACAACTGGTTTAGGCAGAAAGGGAGTTAATACTCAGCTACGTAAACAGACGAATGGGGAATGAGGGAAAGCTTCCCTTAACATGAAGAAAGGTGGGGTCAGAAAGTCACCGCTTTGCACCCCGCACAGTCAGGACTGGAGCGAGCAAGAATCATCAATGGGAACTCACCCCAGGAGGGAAAGTTAGGTAACAAGCGGGATATTTGCATGATCTTCAAACGTCTCCCCAGTGTTTGCCCAGAAGGGAGAAAACACTGCTTCTCAGGGCACCAACATCACCGGTCTGGAGACTTCAAACATGAATGTCATGTAAGAAAAAGAAAGGCTGAGGAACATTACAAATTAAAAGGTAAGAGAGACACGGCATCTAAATACAATATATGATCCTTGGATCATGTACTTGTGGGAAAAAATACTGCAAAGGACATTATTTGGACAACTGACAACATCTGGAATATGGGTTGTCAATTTGCTGCAAGTCCTGTACTGGAGTTAAATGTCCTCAACTTGATAACTGTCCTACAGTTTTGGGGGAGAATGTCCTTGTTCTTAGGAAAGATACTGAAGTATCTGCCGAAAGGAGACGTGCTGTGTATGACCTACGCTGTAATAGTTCAGAAAAAATACAGAATACAGTGAATTTGCACAGCCAGAGAGAGCAGTGGTTCTCAAAGTGGGGTTCCCGAGGGGCAGCGCATCACCCAGGAACTTGCTGAAAACACAGACCCATCCAGGTCTGCTAAGCCAGCTGTCTCCAGGTGGGCCCAGGGTCTGTTTTAACAAGGCCTCCAGGGGACTCTGCCACTCACTAACTCTGGACAGCACTGATACAGAGAACGATAAAGCGAGTGTGGTGAAATGCTTCGGGGGAAAGGGCACGTGTCAGTTTTCTAGACGACGACTGAAACTTCCCCGGAAGTCTGAAACTGTTTCAAAATAAAAACTAACAATGACAACAACGAAAAGCCTACTCTGGGGTCATCTCTGCCCAGATGTGGAAAGGGAGAGACCTCGGGGGCAAGGAGGCCCACCCCGGGGCTACTGCAGCGACACAGAAGTGACGCGATTCGGAACCCAGGGGGCGGCCCCAGAGCAGGGCAAGGAGCAGGACGCCTGGCCTGCAGTCTTCCAGCAACGACCCTCCTCCCTGCAGAGGACGGGGCGAGAACCCGACTGACCTGAATAGGAGAGTCCGGCGATCTCTAGAAACAGGTCCTCCTCGGAGAAGCTCTCGGGGAGCATGAGGAAAGCCGCGGTCACAGCGCTCTTGAGATTTTTATCCAGGGCTGACCTGAGAGCGACATTCTCATTCAGTGCGATGATCTTCACCTGAAAAAAAGCAGAACGTTCAGAAGAAAACTTGCAGAAGTGGAGTACTGCTCAATCTCTGTGTTTATACACACACTGAAACTATCCCAAACTCCTAGCCCTGAAGATCTTCGAGTATCAGGCCAGTTGACGTGAAATAATTATTATTCTAATAAGCAATTCTGGCGTCTCCTGTTTCATGCCAAAATCAGGGAAAGCATGACACAGGAAAGAAAACAAAATATTTCTCTTAAATGAGGAAACTCTCCATGAGTTTTAAGAAAGAAATCGGTACAAAATGGAATAAACGACCTTTGGGAAATGTGTTTTTTTTTAATCTCATTGTCCTTCACTTATTTTTATGGTGGACAAAGGCATTCTACTTCCTTATTTAGAACTTACCTCTGTTCTTCTCTGTACCTAACCTGAGCAGTTCATGCTCCATTTTGAACTGATTTTGAACTTGACTAAGGAAAACGGAGAGAAAGTTAGCTACAGCAGAAGCTGCCGTCTCTGACTTTCTTCTAATCCGTCAAAACACAGACTGCTCCGGTGTGTTCTGAGACTCTTGCTTTTAAAGGCTGCCCTGCAGTTAAGAGAACGTGTCTGAGCCCCAGTACCATCTCTTGCTAGCTCTGTGACTGTTGCACAGCCCCTTATCGGTAAAGTGAGGTTAATCACCCGATCAAGTGCGCAAGGTTGCTGGGAAGATGAAAGGAGCTCTTGCATCTGAACCCACAGTTAAAGTGAGCTTCCCTCGGTGTTTCTTGGTGCTCAAAGCAAGCGATTCTCTCCCCATCAGGAAGCATCAGAATCTCCGGGAGGGCTTGTCAAAACAAGTGTAAGTAGGCCCCTCCCCCAGAGTTTCTGGTTCAGGAGGCCTGGGTGAGGCCTGAAAGTGTGTGTTTCTAACAGGTTCCCTAGTACTGCTGAGGCTGCTGGTCCAGAAACCACACTTTGAGAACTGCTGCTCTAAGGTACAGACTTAGAACCAGAACTGCCAGATTGCTCTTTGTAGTGGTTGTGCCATTCACACTCCCAACCATCATGCTGCTTCTGATTCATTTTTTAAATATGTGTCTAGAAATCCCTAATTTGGACTCCCACATACCTGAAACATATTCACCATCTCTAAACCATTTAGTGCTGTCAGTAAGTTTTTCTCCTATTCAAGAAAATAGGGCTTAAATTGCCTTTTATTTATCAAATACAATTTCTGACAAAATTTAGACAGCATAAAAAAGACACATTCACTGTAAGAAATTTCAAATTAAAATTTTATTAGATAGCAAGGAAAGAGAATGGTGTACATCCCAAAGTGTACTTTCTCCTCTATTTTTTTAATTAATTGTAAAAAGCTTAAGAACCTAAATTCTTTTTTTAAGTGAAATATAGTTGATTTACTATGTTGTGTTAGTTTCAGGTATATAGCAAAACGATTAGTTATGCGTATGTGTGTGTATATATATATATACACATACACACACAATGTTCTTTTTCCCTTATAGGTTATTACAAAAATTCTATCTTTTATCTTCTGTCTCTACTTCTTTTTTTAAGGGAATATTTATCACATACAAACGTGTCCCATGTAGGTAAGTAATTCCACACTACTGCCTCCTCCTCCGCAATTACAAGGACTTAACAGCCCTGCATTGAGCCTTTCAGCCCCTGGACGAGTTCAGCATGACTGCAATCCTCTGCAGAAAGTCAAAGCAAGGAGCAGCCCGGAGCGTGACTTGCCCTGGGCTGCATAATGAGTCGATGCAAAACCCAGGGTCACACCCTTAGACCTGGTGAATCAAGCTCTAAGTGTTTCGAGTTATTCTCATGCGCTCCATTCTGGTTAATTTTTATCTTGAAAGATGATTAAAACAAAATTTATGGTCCCATACTAACTCTTAGGTCTAAAACTGTCCCAAACCTTATACTCCATACGGAATCAGGGATCCAGGAGGGCAAACTCCTCATCTTACCAGCGGGGAGATGAGACCCCCAGGGTCAGAAGAGCTCCCCATAAGAAATGGTAGCACCGGACCAGGACCCAGGATTTGTGCAGAGACCCTGGGAAGCCTCTTCCCAAATCCTGTTCTTCTTCCTCGTTCACCAGGTCCTACTCAATCATTCTTCATTCCCCCTCTCTCCCTCCCTCTCTTTTTGGTGGCTTTTATAGAAACACAACAAAAATAGAAGCTATTTTGAGATACTAACAAGTCAAAGATGCTAAGGGAAGTCTAAGTTCAGGGAAAATTTCCTATTCAATGAAATACCCCTTGCTCTCCAAGAAAGTTTTTACTCAGGTTGTTAAAAAAAAAAAAGGCAGTCTGTTTGCTGTTTAAGGTTAAGAGAGTGAAAATAAAAGCATCCTTACTCGAAAGAAAAACGTCAGTTCAGAAGCCTCGGCCACTGCGCTGACCTGGTTCTCAGTGTAAGGTGAACTAGGAGCTTGTCTCAGCAGCACTGTTATTTGTTGTTCAGAGTGAAAAGCCAGTGAACTCGTGGGACGCTGCCAGAGAGGCCTGGGAAAAAAAGAAAGTCCTCAGATTTGTGAATAGCTGTTTGTATCTTACTGGGAATGCCCTGACCTGAACCACAGAGATAGCACTGGCACTGCTGCCAAGGGGAAAACCTTTGCTGGAGAGAGGAAGGGGCAGCACTTGAAGGGACTTTCAAAAGCCCAACTTGAGAGATTTGTGAGTAGCTTTCAAGATAGGAAAAAAGAGAAAGTCACATGTGGTCTCCTCTATAATACAGTCACATGGAGACAACTTGAATTGCAAAGAGTGAAGTTACAGTCACAAAGCACACAGCCCTACCTCGTGTTCAAATACCCGACCATTAACCAAACGAACTTCCCGTAGTAGTTTTCCATTCCAAGTGAACAGAAAGACTAACTTTTCTAAACGGACTTGCTTGAGGACCAAAAAGAAACAATGAACATTTGAGCTGGATTAAAAAACCCTTATATTCTACCTGCTGGACTGTGGGCTCTTGAGACCAGCAATGTGGTGGTTTCTTGAAAAATTCTTTTGGCACACAGAGAAAAAACTCAGTTTTCTTTTGAATAAGTAAATGAATGACTCAGTCCTTTTATTTCAAAGGCTGGAGGCCCAAAGATTTGCTCACAAACAGGCAGAGCCAAGACTAGTAAGCCAGGCTTTCCAAGTCCTATTCAGAGACCTTTTGTACCACTGGGATTTTTTCTATCCACAAAAGAGTAAATCAGTAAAGTTACAATATGGTGATGGTTGCAAAATGTGAATATACTAAAAACCACAGAACTGTGCACTTTAAATGGCTGAATTGTATAGTATGTGAATTCTATCTCAATAAAGCTGTTACAAAAAAGCTATATTTATAGCAAATAAAAGAGAAAATATATTGGGATAAATACATTAAAATTAATTAAAATCCTGTTAACAAATGGCAAAATACCATTATATGTCAATGTAAATGCTTTAAAAAATTCAAGCCAAATTATCTATATACTAAGAACAATATGAAATACAAAAATTCAAACTGAGATTAAATGAGTTAGGGAAATGACTAAAAGACTGGCCACAACAAGGTTCTATTAAATACTTTTCATGATTTTTTTTTTTAATGGAGGTACTGGGGACTGAACATCAGACCTCGTGCATGCTAAGCATGCACTCTACCACTGAGCTGCACCTTCCACTTTTCATGCTTCTTGACTTGGTAAATGACTCAGAAACTTCAGGTGGTACTTGAAATAAAAATGGGTTATCTCCTCAATTTTGAGGTGAGTTAATGACAAAGAATGATAGAATTTAATTTGTACTCATCATTTTCCAGAACTGTCCATCTTTTTTTTCTGTATAGCCCCAATTTTATTTCCATTTTCTTTTTTTTAAACCCCTTTATTGTGGTATGACTCCGGTAGAGCAAACCACACACATTTCAGGAGTAGTTTGGTGAATTCTGATAGATGCATACACTGATGAAACCACCCCCCACAATCAAGAGAGCCAACATTTCCTTCACTCCCCAAGAGGTGCAGATTTTGAACTCCCAGTTTATCCCTTCCCATCCCCTTTATCCCCTGGCAACCATAAGTTTGTCTGTGAGTCTGTTTCTATTTTGTAGATAAGTTCATTTGTGTCTTTTTAAGATTCCACATATAAGCAATATCATATGGTATTTTTCTTTCTCTGGCTTACTTCACTTAGAATGACAGTCTCTAGGTCTATTCATGTTGCTGCAAATGGCATTATTTTATTCTTTTTTATGGCTTAGTAGTATTCCGCTGTGTCTGTGTGCATGTGTGTATACCACATCTTCCTTATCCAGTCAGCTGTTGATTGAGAAATGTCTATCTTTTTAAGCAAAGTCCTCCTTTATATTTCTCTTTTTTAATTAACAAACTTTACTTTTTAGAGCAAGTTTAGACCCACAGCAAAATCAAATGGAAGATACAGAGTTCCCATACATCCTCTCCATACTCTTTTTAAAAACTTAAATTGCTAGTGATTGAGAAATTCTATTCTATTTGCAGAATGGAGGATCATTTTAGAGCTTTAGACAACTTAATTTAATGTAACTCCTTTTAAAACACACAAAAACAAAGAATTCACATTTATATTCTCACAATTCTATCTTAAGACATTCACCCAATTTTTTGTGTCCAAAATTTGACCATCCCTTTCTTTTCATCAGTTCGTTTGTTAAATTTGATTAATATTTGCTGCCACCTAGAGGTGAAAATAGTTTAAAGATGGTTATCCTGAGAATCCTCTGGTTAACAGTGATTTCCATGGTTAAGGGAAACAGCAGCTACAAAAAGGGCAGAAGAGTTAATTCACCCATTTATGACTTTCACTTTTTTAAATCATGTGTTATGTTCAACACCTCAAGTGACTTTTAAGAAAGCTTAATTTTCTTGTGGTAAGAGCTTAATATGCCTGAGGTATCATCACTGTTATCAATCACATTTTCTTCTCCAATTTAGCCAGGAAATGCCATTTTATATGACATGAGTGTAGCTGCTACTACCTGCCTTGAAGTGACATTTTTATTCTATCAGGATACATGACATGTAGATGAAATCTGAGGTCACTTCTGGTGGTTCCATTCTGAGATTTCATGGCATTTCAGTTTTCTAAAACCTATTTTTTTAAAAAAAAAACTTGAAATATTCCAAGCACAAAGCATAGTACAGAGAGTAATACAACATTTTCACATTCATGTCTCATTTTATCTCAGAGTAACTCTGAGACAGGCAAGGACAGAGAGCAGGATCATTTCCTAAGTGTCTACTAGGTGCCAGGCATTTAGATCCAGGTTATTTTCTCAAATGCCGCTGGAGGTCTGTGTCATCATTCTCATCCACAGGTAAGGATGTCCCAAGGCCCAGGGAGATGAAGTCGCTGGTGCAAGGTCACACTGCTGCGTAGTGTCAGAGCTGGGACCCAAACCCCCGATCTGTCTGATTCTAAGATACCTGTTCTTTCCAGCATTCCCATTCTGCCTCCACTTTCCACCACCTTCATGAAGCAGGAGGGGCAATCCTCCTTCCCCATTCTACAGATCAATTACCCGAGGTTCAGAAAGATAAAACAAGTTGCCTAAGATCACATAAACAGCTCATTGGTAGCAAGAATGAAAAGACCCAATGCTTCTAATTCCACGTTCATTAATCTTCCCATCAAACTATGTACTGTGTAAATTTAAAAAGAAACCTGGAAAGAAAAGGAATATCTACAAATTTCCAATTACATTTATCTGCTCAGTTATGAGGTTTATTAGTTATCCAGCCTAGAAATGAGAAATTCGTCTATATAGATATGAAATTAAATCAGAAAGCTTATTGTTTCTGAACTTAAAAAGTGAGCTAAGCAAATCTAACCAGCACAGCTTGACAAATTTTTACATATGGATATACCCACTTAACTATCGTTTTATCAAGTGTTTCTGTACGTTTTAATGCACTACACTGATAACTTTTAAGCCCAGATGCAAGGCGAGAAAATCTTGACCTCTCAAGTATATCAAAAAAGATTTTTATGACACAGCCAAGTGAGCTAAGATTGTATAAATCTCTCTAATACTCTTCCCATAACTGACAAGAAAGGAGCAGTCCCTCTCAGGAGGGACATCTGAGACCACCCCTCTTTGGGCCCTTAAAACCCTGTGACAGCACAGAGAAAATTCCTCCTTGCTGTGAGATAAGCAACTCTATTTTGTGTAGTTCTTAAACTCTGAAAATATCCTTTCTCAGAAAACAGCCTACACATGTGCAAAAAAGAAGAAACCTGATATTTGCAGATGCATTTCAAAAGTTCAGGTCCTCTCCACTTTTTTCCTGTTTTCTGTCTGTTTTCACTTCCGGTAAAGCCCAGAGAGAAGCCTGTCCCTACAGCCTCCCCTACAGCACCGCCCCAAATGACGCAAGCACGCTGTGACAGGACCTCACCGCCGGTCTGAGGTGGAGGACAAAGGGGATCCGAACCCACCGCCTCAGAATGGCTACCAGGTTCATTCATTTACTCAGCAAGTATTTGCTGAACACCTACTACATGCCAGGCGCTGTCGCAGGCACTGCTGAGGTCCACCAGTGGACAGTGTCCCATGGCATGTGCATTCTAGAAGAGAAGGTGACCCGGGGTATGCAGAGGCCCCACCAGGGCACTGGGCACCCCTTCTGCCCCCTCCCTGGTCACGTGGACTGACTCTGACCCTGATTCATTCAGACAATGGAAGACTTAAGAGAGGGGCAGGAGTAGCGCGGGAATATCTGGATATTGTTTGGCAACAAACACCATACGGAGGACAGAGTCTGGAACTCATCTCTGTGTCTTGGAGTTCCTCTCGCTGCAGTCACAAAGATCAAAGTAAGGTCAGGAGCAGCGAGGAGACCTCCCTAACAGGGTACTCACTCACCGGTTTTTGGAGTCGTCCAGCAATGTATAAGTTATTCCAGTTGAGGAGATCTTCAATCAAAATACTAGTGCTAATAACTCCATATTTGATAAGCTGTAAAGGAAAAGAAACGGGCATGAAAAAGAGCAAAATACCTTCTGACGCTTGTGCAAACGTGAAATATGAGGAAATAAATTAAATTTCTGGTCAGATCAGAAGCTTGATTTCCAAAGCCACTCAAACTGCCTACCTTGTAAAAACACACATCTCCACAAAATTTTTTGCAAAGGATTAGCTTCCAAGACAGTTTGTGAACTCAGGTATTCGGGGTGAAGTGACCACTATTTTATCCAGGGCTCTTGCACTGTTAAAGGCAGAATGGCTCTTAGAGGCAATCTGGCATTGGTCCTCAGTGGATTGGAAATAAAAAACTGGTCCTTCCCCACAGACAGCTGGAGAAGCAATGACACAGGTCATGCTCCTCACCTGAGAAATAGGAAAGCTGAAGCTCGGAGAGAATAAATGACGTGCCCAGGAGGCCCCAGGAGCAGCAGAGTTAAATAGTCCCTGAATTTCACTCTGGGCTTCCAGGGCTTGTTTCATTACACAGCACAAGAAATTTTCTTTTAAAGTTTTCACTAACATCCTTTACACTGACTATTTCAAACACTTTTATAATTACAAAGCAGCTTCCAAAAAGAAAACCTCTTTATCAGGGCTGAACACATGGAATTACGGTCAAGCTCATTTCAGGAGGAATCTGCACAAACCCCAAATGTAGCTGTCCCAGTTACAGAATTTCATTTGCTTTGAGAAATATCTTCAGACTCAATTCACTGAACATAGTATCCAAACAGCCTTCTCAGGCTGCAAATATCTAAAAAGTAGCTAAAGGATTTCAATTAAAAAGCACCTTCCCTTTGGCATATAATTATGCCCCAACATTGGGTTATTGGAGCTTGTAATATTATTTGGACCTACTAATTAGAGATAAGCTCAGCATAATATTAATCATGGAGAGAGAACAAAGCCACATGTTTGAGGTGACTAAAGTGGACGTGGAAGGCTGGCTGCAAAGACCCCTGCCCTGCACTGTGGCCACAGTACTGCAGAAAAGCCCCTCTCACCGCAGGCACAGAACAGCTGGCAGGAAATGGAAACACTACTGCCCAGAAGTGGGGGCCTGTCACTAACCAGCCGTGTGACTGTAGGAAGGTCAGTTCCCCCCCTCTGAGCTTCAATCTCCTCACTGGCAAAATGCAGGTGGAGCAGGACTGGACCTCAACCAGAAAAGTAAATATATGGCCCTGAGGCTACGCAGACATCACCAGTTGATCACAGCACTCATTCCTGCCACGTTACAATAGGTCTTCAAAATCCTTCTCACGTCAGTAGTCCAACCTCCTGCCCTTCAGGGTGTGGTCCCCTGACCAGCAGCATGAGCATCACCGGGGAGCTTATGAAACAGTCAGGCTCCATTCCAGACCACCGGAATCAGAATCTGCATTTCAGCCAGGTCCCCAGGTGACCCATCTGCACGTCAAAGGATGACTGCTCTAAGCAAAGGTGGAGGGCACCTCCGTCATCCTCAGCCCAGCTCATCCCTAGGTGGCATCTGACTTAGTTCCCTGCTGGTCCTCTCAGGCTGAGGTCCTGCCTAGTTCTTGGCAGCCCTCTTTGAGACTGGTCCCCTTCATAGGAAAGACAGTTCAGCAGGGCCCCAGCCGTGAGATACCCTCTGCAAGAATTTGGGGTCTCACCTGCTCACCAGCAGCCCATCATCGAATTCCACCCACCGGCTGGCACCCAGAGGCTTCCCACCACTTGGCACCGCAGGCTCCCAAACACCTGTGAGACCCTCTTTACGTCCAACTTCTTCCTGGGAGTGTCTGCCCCTCCCTCTAGGTAAGATCAATTTCCACCCTGACCTATAAGGGGGCTGCCTATTCCTCCCACTGACCAAAGCAGTGGTTCTCAAAATGCTTCCAGACCAGCAGCCGCAGCATCATGTGAAAGGTTGCTGGAAACGCAGATCCTCACTGCTACGAGAGTAAATCTTAAAAATTCTTGTCACCAGGAAAAAAGAAATTGTAACTATGTGTGGTGATGGATGTTAAACTTACTGGGGTAATCCTCTCACTATATAAATATCAAATAATTTCATTCCACACCTAAAATTAATACATTGTGATATGAAAAAAACCATTTCAATTAAAAAAAAACAAATCCTCAAACCCTGCCCCAGACCTACTGAATCAGAAGCTCTGGGGGTGGGGCCCAGCAATCTGTCCAACAGGCACTCTGACTGATTCTGATGCCCACTAAAATTTGAGAACCAAAAAAAATTGGGCCAAAGGCGAAGAATAAAGACACTCACCACCTTCATCCAGCAGGAGTGTGAACGTCGCCTGACTGTAAGAACATACATATTGAGCTGGTATTCCAATAACAAAGGTTAATAACCACCCAAGTTAGGATGAAGGCCCCCAGTCACTTACCCTCCCGTCACATGTGATCAACGGATTGTAGTAAACGCCGGCGCCGTAGTTATTCTGGACGTTGCTGATCATCTTGGGCCCCAGAACTTTGAGGAAGGAGTAATGGTTCCAGTTTTTCTTCAGGTTCTTTGAATGCCACGCGACAGGGTCATCTACGGTGAACACAAAGTCCAGCATGGCATTCTGGAAGGTGAAGAAGAGAGAATTATTTCAGTTTCAATTCCTAGAAAGGCACCTAGCCGGAGCGGAAAGCTCTAACAGGCCCCGCCGCTGCTGCTGTGACGCACAGCAGAGCTGGGGTTGTCATCAGGAATCTAAGCAAGTCTCTGGAATCAACGAGAGCTGTGTTTCCAGCAACACACAGAATAACCACAACACTTACTTAACGTGATGCTGCGCCAGCCCTCACCTAACGCTTCATACATTATATAGACTGTAATTCGTTTTCTCCTCAAAACAATCCTACAGGGTAGGTACTGTGGGGATCCCCCTTTTACAGGCAAGGAAACCAAGGCACAGAGTCCTTGCCCGAGGACACACAGCTAATGAGTGGCAGACATAGCCTGGTTCCAAATTCAGTGCTGAACCACTATGCCTGCTTGTCATCTAAACAGTGTTCAATGTGCTCTATTTTTTTCCCAGATCAAACCACACCATATGGATAAGCTCTATGAAGTATTACGCAGAGGGGAAATAAGTTACTTTAACGCTAACCCATTTGCCAACTACTCATGGAGCACCGACAATGAGCTCCAACAGGTCCTGGGACACAGGTAACGAGCTCAAAGGCTATTGGGGAGAACAGATTATTGAACAGATTATTAGAAAAGGGACTTGAAAGATGAAGGCAGAATGCACTGATTTCACTCTGAACGGGGTCAGAAAGGAAGAAGTTTTCCTATACGATTACATTCTTCAAGACTCTGAGAAGTCTGAGTCGGAAAGAACCTACAGGCTTGGTGGGAGTATTTGGAGAAGCGTGAGGAAGGGAGGGGTCCTGTGAGAGGAAGACACTGGTGGAGATGAGATCTGGGCGTGTACTGGGTGCTGCATTGGTTCTAGTGTGGCTGAAACACACACAGACAGGGGAGTAATGGGAGAGGACAGAAAGCGAGGCTGGCTGCCGTGCTAAGAAGTTCTCCTGCAGAAAAGCTCACCGGAGGGAGGAGAGACCAAGGACGCAAAACCACACCGGAGGCTCCCGGCTACTAACTAAAGCCCTGAGGGTGGGGACCAACCTCAGCGAGACCGAGGTGTTGGAATCTACAAGACTTGCTAACTTTCAGGGAATGAGGGTGAGGAAAAAGGAAGGACATTTTCTTGGAGAGAATCTTCAAAGGAAAATCTTGAAGGGAAAATGAAGAGAATCAGGAGGCAAGGCTCGCTCTGAGTTTCCCACAATGTGATCCACAGGCCAGTGATGATACTTAAGATTTCGGGTAGACGTGTTTTTTTAAAAACTTTATGTCAGTGTATGTTAGAAAAAAAAAACTAGCCTATTGTAGCCTGTGATTTCTTATATACCTATCACTTATAATTCTCTCATGTGTTGCTGATTTAAAGAAAAGTATTACTTAAATACTAGTATAGGTGGGAAACAGGAAATCCCAGCAACAGCATAGATGGCCTTACCAGGAAGTGAACAGGTGAAGGTTAACTGAAAGACGAATTACAGCCAGCTATCCAAATCCAGGAGGCCCTGTTGCTATCTGCACACTACCATTTCCTTCGTTTATTAAAGATAACCATGAACTGTCAAGCTGTGCATGAACTTCATACACCAAGTAGAAACCCAGTCCAGCACACGAACTGCACGCAGAGAACAGCTCTGTCTAGACTCTTTGCTTCTTTTAATTCAGCAAAAGCTCTGAAGCCTTGACAAAGTGACTAGCAGCCTCATTTAAATGGAAAATACCTGCCTGCCACTCTTTTGCTATATCTTGAATCTTGTCTCCACCTTGGAAGCAAACTTTTCCCCCCATTTACAGAAGAAAAAAAATCTGCAGTCACAAGGAAAACTGTCCCCCCACCGCTGTCGTGCTCAGCCAACCCTGAAGAGTAACAATGCCTAGTCCTAAACAGATTCTTGTTAAACGTCCTGGGCAAATACACGAACTAACTTGAGCTGTTACTTAATGTCACTGCACCTGCCCTGCCCCTACAATCAGTCCGTCAGCTTCCTGGCGCCAGGAGAATCATTTTCTATTTTCTCCTACAACTACAGGCGTGACTCGCAAGCTTGGCTGCGTATCAGAATCACCCGGGAAGTTTTTAAAATTCCTGAAGCCCAGGGCTCATCCCAGACTAGTTAAAGCTGAATCTCCCCAGTTGGAACCCAGGCACCAGTATTTTCTTTTTAAAGGTTCCCAGAAAATTCCAATATTCAGTCAAGGCTGAGAACACTGAACAAGTACTTCTTTTCCTTTCCTCCGTCTTGCCCCGGCTTCTCCCTCCACCTAACTGCATCTCTTGCTCTGGACCGAAGCGGACTCCTACGTATCCTTCAAAACTCGGCTCACGCTGTCGTTACACCGGGAGCACTTTCGTAAGGTTTGTGCTCTGCTAGTTGACACGAGGGGTGCGCAGAGCAGACGGGCAGCTCTAGGGCTCTGGAGGGGTCATTCCCGGCGCGGGCTGGCGTGGGCTCACCTTCTGGTTCGAGCAGGGCCCTGCCTGGCGGTACACCCCGGAGCCGTAGGCGAAAGCCAGGCTCAGCTCCTCGGGGAAGTGAGACAGGATCTTGCGGAAGGCCACCCCCGAGCTCTGCAGCGCCTGCAGCGCCATGGGGCCGGGCCAGAGACGGGGACCCCTGGCGGAGCAGAGGACGGCGGGGCACCGGTACCCAGCAGGGCGTGGGAGAGGGAAGTCGGGGCCCCGCCCCACAGGAGAAGGCTGGCGCCGGGGCTGGGAAGCGCAGGGGCCCGCAAGGACTTGGGCCGGTCCCACAAGAGGCCGGGTAGAGAAGGAAGGAGGTGGGCGCGGCGGTCGCGCCGGTCAGGCGGCCACCCCGGGCCACGCCCCCCCCGCACGCACACGTGCTCCGAAGACGCAAGAGCGGGCGCTCGCCCGCTGGTGGGGACGCGAGGCCTCCGCAGAGACCCCTGGTGGCCGGAGGAGCGAGTGCAGGCTGTCTGTCTGGGATCGTGACTTGGGACATGTGGGTAGAGGGAGTGACAGCTGGTCGAACTGCTTTTGAACCTTAAAAGTCCTTTTTTGTTCTCACCTCAAGTCACATTCTAATAAATGACTATAAAGTTATGTCTGTAGTATTGCAAAAGATCTTTTTGGTGAGGTGAAATTCACATAACATAAAATTGTACATTTAGTACATTGACGATGAAGCAGTACATTCAGAATGTTGTGCATCCGTTGTCTCCGCCCAGCTCCAAAACTGCAGAAAATTTTGAAGTCTTAGGAAACACAAATAAGAGTAAAATCATGCCCAATCCCACCATCCAGAGATGATCGCTGTTAAGATTTTGCTGTGCTTTGTTCCCATTAAAACCTTTTTCAAATCCAATAATGAGTATGGCAGTGCTCCTTAAGTGGTTAAAAAAAGAAAAAAGAAGAAATAAAAAAACTGCACCAAGTTTCTCTGATATTTGTATTTAATTTTAAGGGAGGGGCAGTCTCTGCCCCTTTGCCTTGTGGATTGGGCTCACCAAAGGGCACATTACATGCAGTTTGTGGTGGAAACGGGACCCCAGTTGAGAGCTCACCCCTTTATGTATGACTAGAGAAACCAGCTCAAGATCACAGCGCCTTTCAGGATGTAGTTTGACTTCCAGGACAGAGACTTTACAGATTCTCTTCCCTTCTCCCCTGGAGCGCACGGCCTCTCAGCAACAAGGGAAGCAGTATGTAGAGCGAAATTTGGGTGACGTTGTTGCATTCCACATGCAATTTTCATTGATTCCCTTGTGGAAGGAGGTGCCTTGTGAGAGGAGGTGATTGCCTTCATTTTACAGATGAAGCAGCTAAGCGGTCCAGAAAGCAATGTGCTTAGGATCCCATCAGCCCGCGGCGAAACAGGAATGAAAAACCTGAGCTCCGTGTCCTACAATTTTACTCCGTCCTTGTAGGGTTTTGAGCAGGGAGCTGTCAGGCTCAAGTGCTGGGCTGGATCAAAGTGAGGACAGAAGAGGCAGGGAGACCAGTTGGGAACCTGTTACCGTAGTTTCACTGTGAACTAAGTTGCCTAGCCTGGGCAGGCAAGGATGGAATGAAATCAATTTGAAAAAGTGGTGATTGGAATTCAAACTCTGGGCCCAGAACTGGAGCAAGTGCTGAGGATTTGAGATGACCAGAACAGGCCTGCTGCCTTGCAGGAGCGCAGGGTCTGCGGAGGAGAGAGTCAAGCGGACCCAGAGTGTACGGTGCAGCCGGTTTCCCAGCGCCCCGCGGGACCCCCGAGGAGGGAGCGTCCATCAGTTCTTGCTGTGCAGGAAGGGACGGAGGAGATTTTGCACTGATGGCCTCTGAGCCCGGGCTTGAGGGATGGGTAAGAGTTTACCATGCAGAAGATAGATGTGAGATTCTACCAAGGAAACATCTATAGGACAATAACCATAGGTGACAGTTGCTTATTTATTTTCTATTCCTAAGCACTTTCTCTACTTAACTCTTCTCATCGTTCCAAAGAGCGCCTCGAGGCAGGTTTTCTTAGACGATCATTTTCATGTGAGGAAACAAGGAGGAAATGCCAAAGCAGCTGGTTTTACTCCATCAGCCGTTGTCAAGGAGCCGCAGCCGTCGCCACCTAGAGGCCAGAATGAGGACAGCAGAAGGGAGACTGCGGCTCAGCCTCCCAATGTGAACACAGGCATTTGGGTTCATTTCGACTAAATACCACCCTTGCCCGGATTGTCAGAATCGAAATGCACTCATCAGGGAGTTAAACTGGAACCTTTCACCTAAAGTCTGTTAAGAAATATCTGCCAGCCATGTTTCTTTTCTTTTTTTCTTTCCTCCCTTGAGGAAATAATTCAGCTTTCTTCTTCTTCTTCTTCTTCTTCTTCTTCTTCTTCTTCTTCTTCTTCTTCTTCTTCTTCTTCTTCTTCTTCTTCTTCTCTTCTTCTTCTTCTTCTTCTTCTTCTTCTTCTTCTTCTCTTCG